GGGGGGGGGGGGGGGGGGGGGGGGGGGGGGGGGGGGGGGGGGGGGCGGGTGTTAACCCACCTGGCGGCTGTTGTAGTTGCGGCCTCGATTCTCCCGCTTCCTTCGGTTCCTTCTGGCTGGCTATGTCCGAAGACGACGCCGGGGGCTGCTTCGTGATCCTCTGCAGACGAAAAGACGATGACTGCGGCAGCGAAGGGCAAAAATGGAGACTGCGAAGGAGGGCATAGTAGGCATACTGCTGGGGAACAAAGGTGGACTACCGAGTGGGGTACGTCTGAGTAGTTCGAAATCAAACTACTCCGATCTCCCATTTTTTTTTTTCCCTTTGGAGGGTGCACGCGGCCTTAATTTATTGTTTTTTCAACCCCACCGGTTCATGCGACTTCAGAATTGGACCTAGACCCCCACCCCGCAACTTTTTTTTTTTTCATGACCCCTTGATTTTGACATGCACCGCACCCAGTGCGTGCACAGCTTGTGCAATGCGTGATGCGGCGCGCGGCTTGTGCAATGCGCGATGCGGCGCACGTGCGCAGTGCAGCACATCTGGATGGGCCGCATGTATGATTCTGTCTATCACATTATCATTACATGAAATCACTGCTGCCCTTGATTTTTTTTTTATTTTTATTTTTTAAATGATCCTCCGGCAGGTTCACCCATTGAAACCTTGTTACAACTTCACCTTCCTCCAAATGATAAGGTTCTATGAAATTCTCACAGCACCCTCAGCGGCGAACTGCCGGGATAACTGCAATCCAGACACTTCACCGCACCATTCAATCGGTAGGAGCAGCGCGCAGTGTGTACAAAGGGCAGGGAGTTAATCAGTGCTAGCTGATGATTCACGCTTAGTATGTGTTTTGTTGGACCTGTTGTTTGCCCAAACCCTCAGTTGCTAAACCTCAGCTATCAGAGACTGCCGCTTGTGATGAGACGGTGGTCATAGGCAGCTGTATGTTCTTTTCTTCTTCTTTCTTTTTTAAATAATAAAACAGGCCCTTATGATCCTGGCTCCATATCCATTCTGGGGAGCGTCAGTCCGGTTCGTATTCCCCCGGCAAGTCAATATCCTCAGATACATCGTTTACACAGTCACACATCCATTTTCTTTTCCAGCCATGACACTAACACTACTAGTTCAACTGGAAGGCCCCTCCTATACGAGCGTGTAGCCACAAGCTCTCGGTAAAAGTGGCTGTTTAATTACAATCACAATGAAACTGAACTTTATACGATTAGCTATGATTGATTATCAGGGGTACAATGCTCGTTGTGCTTACGCTGATAGCAGTCCGGACAGTGTCATCCCGATGTGACAGCTGTTGTGTTGGGGTTATCTCTGCTACCATGTGGCTGATGATGTCAACAGAATGGTTCTACCCTAAACCTGGTTGTTGCTCGTATCAAGCTCTGTTGTTGAAACTTGTTTTCCATTTCCACTGTTTACATCTTATTTCCAAAGTTTTTTTTTCTGGGACTTTTTCGAGATATTCTGTCATCTATTACTTGCAGCAGTTGTTCTGTTTGATTTCCATGTGCTTGTGTGTAAGGCCAATTCATAATGCTCATATGAATGCAGAATCAACTGGTTGGCGTGCAGAAGATCCGACACAGTTTGCTAATGTGCATCCATTGCTTCAGGGGTTGATAATTTGATGTGTATGAGAGTGTGTGTGTGTGTGTGTGTGTGTGTGTGTGTGTGTGTGTGTGTGTGTGTGTGTGTGTGTGTGTGTGTGTGTGTGTGTGTGTGAGAGAGAGAGAGNAGAGAGAGAGAGAGAGAGAGAGAGAGAGAGAGAGAGAGAGAGAGAGAGAGAGAGAGAGAGGGAGAGGGAGAGGGAGAGAGAGGGAGAGAGAGAGAGAGAGGCAGACAGACACAGACCGAAACGGACAGGACGGAAGGGGGGCGGGGCAGAGAGAAGGGGAGAGGAGGGAGACACAGGGAGGCAGAGGGAGTGAGAGGGAGAGAGTTATTTCTATCAGCTACACGCTATTAGGTTTATCATGGAGACAGTGTGGATGACGATCGAAAACACAAACGATCGTTTTTTCGTCGGCGTGATTGCATGTTGTTGCTCCTTGCATAATAGCGGGATTCGCTTTCATACAGCGGGAAAGGACGCACTCTGCTCAACTTGGTGGGTAATCCCTCTTTTTTCTTTCTTTCTCTCTTCCACTGATTCATATCTCTCCCACTCATATTTGCATGGCATCAATGGAAATCTTCTCTGCATATACGCATAATCCTATTCTACCAACCGAACCAAAAGGTCCAGACTTTTAGATAGTATACATGCATATATAGCGAATTGTATCAACTCCTATTCTTGTGTGCCCCATTGAGGATGTGCGACCTGTGTGCATTGAGGATGCGCCAAATGTTCATGGAATCTAGCCAAGCTACGGCGCTGATGGTGCACTTATCAATTGCATGTGATCATTCTACCAACTAAGACAAGACATGACCTGTGTTTCGCTCTCCGAGGGAGAGGTTTTGTGCTCATTCTATAGCGGCACAACGACCTTTATATATCCAGAAATATCAAGATTGCACCACGACATCACCACGATGGCATGAGTATACAAATGGCGGTCCTGAGATTGACGGTAATCAAATTGCCATGGTGATGATGGTATGAGTTTGTACGGTTAGTCGTCGCCAGCCAAATTTTTTTGTGTGCATTGTTTTATTACTCCCAAACGCAAAGTACCTGTAAGCAGCTGTTTAAAGTTTAAACATGTTTGAAAAGGAAACCCTACTATCAGTTTAGACCTTTCAGCTGGTCAGCCTTGGAGGAACTGCAGGGTGAGCAACTGAACAGCAGAGGACAAAAGACTACCAAAGACTGCCTGCGAACACAGAGGGACGTTGGAGAAAGCCTGATAACATCTGATAGCATCTGATGTCATCTGATACCATCTGATACCATCTGATAACATTTGATATCATCTGATAACATCTGAAAACATCTGATAACATCTGAGAGCATCTGAGAGCATCTGAGAACATCTTGGAACATCTTGGGACATCTTGGAACATTGGAACATGTTGGGACATATACGAAAAATCTTAGGATCTGGGAATATCTGAGAACATGTTAGAGAACGTCAGACCACCTCACGTACCTGATGAAGTTTAAAGGGCACCTTGAGGATCTTCTACAGGTTCCTTAGCACAGGCAACTCTGTTGACTGTACCATCTGAGAATACCTGAGATGATCTTGTGGACAATTTGTGAGACATGAAACTGCAGAGTTGCACTTGCAGCATGTTGGGACCACTTGAAATGCCTTTGAGAAGTACAATGATTGCGTTGTCAGGCTATTGACAGCATTTGCGACCCGGCGAAAGCGACCAGGATGTCTCAGGTTCTTTTCTAGTGTGTTTAGGAGATCCTAGGTTCGGTCACCTATGCCCAAACACCATAAGTGGTAGTCCTTTGCTCTGGGTGAAGTGGGATGCTTTGCGGTCAGTTGCGCTCGAATTTTGTCAGATACTCTTGCAAACAGTGCGCAGGTGAGCCTGTTTTGTGCTATGGTTCACAAGATGCGTCATGCTCTGAATTCCGGCTATTCATATGGGTTAGTAATCGCTTTGTCTTGTTTAGCAGTTGAAAATATATTTTCAAATTTCAAGAAAGATTGGGCCGTTCACCCTTTTTGGGCCGTGTACTCTTTCACTGAATCGCGAACAATTGGACAATGAGCCTCCACTGTTGTCAGAGGAATAGCTTTCGAGTTTTTTCTTGCATCAAGCTTATGACGCATGACAATAGTCAAGCCTTTGGAGAATGTCCATCCTGCCCCTGTGAGGGCCTCCCACCATGGTGGCCTGCTGGTCGCAAACCTTATCTCGTGAACCTTTCTCTTGCATAGACGCCAGGCAAAAGGCCCGGAAACATGGGTCAAGAGTTGAGACATATGGTGAGTATTAGGAAAAGGGATTTGATTTCTGAAGTTTGAACTCGTTACCTGATTATTATGCTCCTGGTGCACGCCACTTAGTGGTCACACAGGTTGCTCTGCACTTTTCCCACTTATGAATGCAGAAACCGGGGACTGTCATCCAGTGACAACATTCCGAGTGTTCCGTACTTGCATCCCTCTCTTTTGCTCCAAGTTTTTGGGTTCTTCTTATGGAGGGATTGGGTTGTATCATGCCCTTTGACAGATTTGTGGCTGGATGAGATGAGATGTGTGTGTCTAGTTGTGCTCTGTTTATTGGAGGAATTGGTGCAGTTATGGCACTCGACAGATGTTATATTTTCTGTGGTTTGCGTGCAGCTTATCGCAGGTTGGCTGTGTTGGCGCTTGCCTTCAATCATAGGTGGCGGAATGATAGCCTATACTGTTCTGTACCAAGTAGTATTACTGTTGCATTTCCCAACTATTGTTTCCGACTGGCAACACAAGGATAGGGGTGGCAAAGAGGAAGAGTAGATATAGACCATACATCAGCAGATTCAGCACAGAAGTACTCAAATGGAAAGAATACAGAATGGAACCTGCTTATGTTTTCATGTGTACATCTGTCGTTTAGAAAGGAAAGCAAAACGGCCTCACCTGTACTCGAGTCACATGAACGCGTGGGGACTAAGCAGATGTAAAACAGCAAATCTGCTCTCAACTGATGGCAAGGACACCCAGTTAGTGGCCTGTGGCTGCACCGACAGATTGGGCATGAAAGATGTCATTGTGGTTTATGGAAATGAGGCATGTAATCGCACCAATCATGGGCACCTTCCCTGATTGCACACTGCCGGCAGACGAGGCATGTCTCCCTCAGGCCACAAGCAACAGAATCACGACCATGGCCCACCGTGAGAGGTTTGACTCTGAGCATGCCTAGCATCCTCAATATGAACAATGCTATACTCCCCACCAATAGACTGCAGCGTTGTTTTTTGAAAAAAAAAAAAAAAAAAAAAAAGGTTATGATGGCTGGTTGTGAGTGCAGAAAGGACAGTTGCTGGGATTGTCCAGAGAGAGGATAACCTCGACCATTTCGTGAAAATGTTTCGGGCAAAGCTGATGGCGATCACAAGCTATAACTGAGCATATGTGCATGTTGCGATGACTCCAACAGTTACATACTGACAAATCTTCATTTTCTGAGAAACGTTCCTGTCCGTGGTCTGTTAGCTGGATTTCCTAATATGATTATCTGAGTCTATTTTGCCGGTGTGTGACCATTCTGATGAGATCAGTACGCCTGCGTGCTTGCCTGGGTCTAAATCTGTGTCTCTGTGCTAACTCTGGTTTTCGCGCTGTGTTTCTGTGCCGTGAACGGGGGTAGAGTAGCAAATGGTGTAGTTACAAGGACAGACCTGAGATTTGGGCTACAAAGGAACTCGGTGGGAATTCCAGAAGGCTAGGGATAAAGGCGGACTTTCTCAGGGACCTAGTAGGATTTTTCAGTATCTTGAGTAGGCCTAATAAGGTCTGCTACGCTTAGGAGAAGTCGGATTGCTTCCAAGAGGTCAGGATGGTCCAGGGCCTGAACGTAGGTAGATATCAGGTTAGATTGAGGACCTGGTAGTGGGTTGCAGACTGCAATGATGTTCCTGCCAATGGCAGAATCTTTCCGATAGGCCTAGTGCATGCTAGAGGTCGGGAGGTACCCGGGGTAGAGTACTGGAGGTCGCTCGTCATGAGTACATCATTCCGTGCACTGAGTTCATCTGGCAGTCATGCTGCCGCCTCGGAGTTGGAGCTTCTGGGGAGCAAGGTGGAGGTTAAGGATGATGGACAAGGGCCCCCATGGCTACGGTGAGATGAGGGAGAGTGCCGAGCTATGGAGGTAGTAGTACTAGAACCCCATACGAGGGTATGATAATAGGAGGAGGAGTCTAGTGGGTGAGCGGAGGAGGAAGGAGGTGGGAATCGAGAGGAGACTTACCGTTGGCTATGGTGGACCTTCATCTTCCCTTAACTGGCTGGCACTGCATCAGGAAGGTCCCTGGAGGGGACCAGCTGGACTTGGACTCCATCTGAGGAGACTGGCGATGGTTGCTGGAGGAGGGAGAAGCATAATAGGTAGTTGCATTGTCCTGCGAACATCTGTGCATGGAAGGGATGATCTGCCATAGCTGAGAAAGGTGGTAGTGAGAGGAGAGAGGATACCTAAAGGGGACTCTTTCTATGAGGCTGTAGGAGGATCTTTCTTACATTGGTTTGCGCCCATTCATTCATTCATTCTTCTTATATTTTTTATTATTTTGTAAATTTGTAATAAAAGGTGAGGAAGAGTTCTGAACGGGATGATGACGATGATGATGGACGGGAGAAAAGAGGGGGAGGAGACTTCCTCATCTTGTGCTCTTCTTCTTGGCCGCCTTCTTCTCTTTTCTTCATTCTCTTCTCTTTCCTTGTCTGATTCCAGTTCGTCGTGATTTGCAGTGACTGGCATTCCCATCAAGAGGTCGGCAGGGTCATAACAATGTGTCAGTGCCTGTGATTGTCTGCTCATTGCTGACGGCATCGGGTATTCCATTTAATACCTCGTCCGCTTGGTCCTGCTATGGTTGCATGGTCCTTCCAGGATTATGAATGGAAATACCTTTCTCGGCCTTTTGGCTAAGATCAAGTGTAGTATCTGTTCTGATCAGTTTAATATCTGATCCGTGGTCCATCGGTTAAAATAAAAAAAAAAGAAAAGGATTATGAATGGAACTTGAGTCTTGAGCGCAAATACTTTGATCAAGCTAGGTTTGTCTCTGTTATTGCCGATGGATGTTTGTGCCTGTGCTTGTGTACTCAAAGCTGTACAGTATTAGGTGTGGCTGTTCTGCATCTTGCCCGCTGTTGGTCCAGCAATGGTTCATTATTCTTTCAGGACTATGGAGCTAGTTTAGCCTCTGCTATTGCCGCTGTATATTGGACATTGCCTTTAGAGTTGTGTTGAGTCAGCTCACTGCAAACTGCTGTTATAGAAAAAAACAGTGAAACGTGCCAAGATACACCTGGACTTTCCCTTTTGCCCACTGTCCATTCTCATCTGGTCAGGCTTACTGGGCAGGCATTCATGAATGCATCTGGCTGCCTGGACCGTGCAGATGGAGAAGGCCCTGGTATATCACTGCAAATTCGGAAAGCCAAGGTGTATGTTTGTACTTTTCCCAAAGCAAACCAATGCTCTGTTAGGATTGGGAAATCGACAAGGAATCATCCTGATCACTTTTTGTTCACTGCTATTGTCAAACAGGGGGGAGATTCGCTTTGTGTAGAGCCAAAGTTGATGGACGTTGTTGCCGACCTCATAAAAGATACCATTGGTAAGAGTGTCCCCTTTCAATTCATCCCTTCCAGTGTTGAACAAAAAGGGAAAAACTTCAAGAAAGGAAAAAACTAGAACTGCCAAAATCATATATTGTGTTTCTATCCAACTTGCCTGTGGACAGGAACCGGACTGACGCTCCCCAGACTGGACAAGGAGTCACAATCGTAAGGACCTGTTTTACCAAAAAAAAAAAAAAGAAGAAGAAGAAAAAGAAAAAGAAAAGAGAAGAGGAACAAATTCAAGTTACTACAAGGGCCTAGCCCAGTTCGTACACCGATGAACTTTTGAAACGCGGACCGGAGTTTTGAGTCCTGGCGGAACTTGATGAATGAAATGCCAGAATTGCCTGGGGCCGGTCAGCTCGGCGATGACATCTCAAGGCCATTGCCTCTTTTTTATCTCCTCTTAAATAAAGAAAAACTCCAACGCAGAACAGAGAACGAAAGGGGAAAAAGAAAGTAACTACAACGACTCATGGCAGAAAGGCAACCAGCGTATACTCTTGAAAGTTGAAGCTCCGTTTCTTTGGACCATGAGGCCAAATTGAAGTGTACCTCTCGTTAGATGTGCGCCTTTAAGCATCTTCATTGTCTTTGGTGCAAAGTTTTAGGCCAATGGAGTCCTGCTGTTAACTTGAACTTTCCCTGATTTGCAGTCCTCATCATTGACCAAGGGCCTTGTCAATCTTCCCTGTATTATTTGGATCTGGACCCCTGTCCTTTTTGTACATTTGTCGATCGGGGAGGTGATTGATTTCTGATGCGTTTGGAGCTCTCGAATGAGCCTCTCCAAAAAGTTAGGGGGCTCTGTACAGGGTCCCCCGTGTGGGGGCGGGCGGGATTTTTTTTTTTTTTTTTCTGTGGTTCAGGGCTGGGTGTAGTGCCACCCTACGGCATGGGACAATTTCTTTTTCTACTCATCCTTCGGACGCCCTGTCCCGAGCCTCCAAAACTTTAGGAGAGACTCAATCACGATTCTCAACTTGGCTGAGGCCATGTGCTAGTCTTTCAAAGTACCAGTACACCACATATTGGCCCGCGGGCGTCAGCATGAAACCCGCACCGCTTCGGAGGCCGCCGATTTTTTTTTTTCAACAGCGGGCCTGGCCGTGCGGCGTCTCCGAGTTTTGCTTGTGGTGACAAAAACTTTCTGCAAGGCTGGGGCCATGTGCCAGTCCTTCAAACCACAAGTATGCCACCCAGCTATTTTGTTCTGACGTGGCTGTTTACCCCACTGCGTTGACAGTGGCTCGCCCTGCCACACCCAAACGGCTGGCGGCACCAGCCAAAAGGAAAACAATTGCACCCGTGCTGGTTCATTTTTGGGCTGGCGTGTGGTCGCAATCCGGGTGAAGTATTGTTATATTACTTACCCTCTTTGCAGGATTTGTTATTATTTCATTTTATTTTTAGAAAAATGGGCGACAGCCTTGAGATATCATCATCGAACTGACTGGTCCCAGGTAATTGAGAATTATTGTATGTCACTCGTCTGGATCCGAACTCGGATCTGTATTTCAACAGTTCACAGGTGTACCAACTGAGCATCCGTTAAAATTGGGAAGATACCGAGAAGATTGGCATGGGCCCTGCGCAGGATTTGTTATTCCATTACTTCCCAGGAGGGAAAATAAAACTGTAATTTGGTTAACTTTAGGAATATGTCTGCCGGATGTTCTTGTAATGACTCTAATGAGTTATATTTCTGGTTATTACTATGATTTTTACAATAGTTCATTTCAATTCAAGCTTCAAAGAGTATAGATTCTATAGAATGGTTCCTCCTATTGGTTTTAAATGGGCTTTAGGTGTCGATGGACTTTCTATAGGAATTATTTTACTAACAGGTTTAGTTACTACATTAGCTGTTCTTGCAGCATGGCCTATAACCATACTTGCAACCACACCATGCGCGGTACCATGCGGTGTGCTGGCGTGTGGCGCGGCACCTACTCGTGCACCGTACAAACGGCAGTTTCCCTGTCTTGTGTGTTCTTTTTGCTGTTTTTGTAGATACCGAAGAGTGCAACACCTAAGGAACTGATCTTTTCCAAGTACAGTTGTACCAATTTTCCTTTCCGTCCAATTGGTCATGAGAAATAGCCTCAAAAAGGTGTCTGGGATATCAGCTTTGACTCTTAGTTAGCGGCATTTCCCCCGTGCGCCGCACCGTGCGGGTCCGCTCGTGCGCCAAACCTGCGGAATTTTCCGCACGGCGTCTGCTTGCATGTATGCCTATAACATGTAATCCAAAGCTTTGCTACAGCTATGGGCCAGTTATGTATAGTGGAGAAATATGCCATTTTACGTCTCAGGATATCTTTTTATTCTTCTTAAACCACCAGTACCTTTCCCTGCTTCAAATTTCAAAATCAAATGCCCGCCAGTTAACACCGGAGGTGGGCAGGCTCGGGACAACCGGCGCGAAATGGCTAGTGGCGCCAGCCAAAATGAGGCCATGCCGGTTCATTTATTTTTGGCGCGCAGGGAAGTTTTAGGCTGGGCATCGATAGCTTAGAAAGGTACTGGTGGTTTAATGTCTTTTTATTCTTCTTAATGTGGGAATTAGAACTAATACCCATTTATCTTTTAATATCTTTATGGGTCGGACGAAGGAGACCTTATGCCACTACAAAATTTATCTTTTATACAGCTATGGGCTCACTTTTTTTAATTTATAAGCTACTTTCACTGTTCACTTCTATGTATCTATTATAGCTATATGGCATTTAGCAGAAACTATTGATGCCAAACTATAAGCGGGGCCTTGGAGACCATCGCGGGCACTCCCCACCTCCTCGTTCCCTTTGGCCAGCCCATTCCCTTGAGACCTTGCTCCTTTGTTTTTTACTGTGGACTCGTCTTTGACTTACAAAGGCCTCCCTAAATCCACTTTGAGAGGCCACTTCAGCTCACAAAAGCTCCCATGAGCTGACGTTTCTCCATTTCTTGTTGTCTTGGTGTTGTTCTCTGCGTTTGTCCAATCTTGATGTCTGGTAATTGTTATGTTTGTTCAGTAAAACATGGGCTTAGCCCTCGATATTTGCTGCCATGCTGCATTGTGCTTGAAAGGCTATTGTCTGCACGTGCGTGCTTTGAAGCTGTAAGGAATCATCCTGAAGTTATCGCTTCACTTTTTGCTGTAAGTATCTTTCAACCCTTCACATTTCACTCTCCCTTCAACAATTCGTGTGTTCCCCACTCTCTCCCTCCAATATTTAGTATTTACTATTTAGTATTTACCCTCTCACTCTCTTGTCCCTTCTTTGCCACTTTTCCTCCTCTTGCCCTATAGTTTCTCTCCTCTTTCGCCCTCCTTTTGCCGCCTTTGTCCTTTGCCATTCCTCATCTCTAGCCCTTGTCTGTCTCTGATAGCACCCCTATTGTCCCTCTAGCCTGGCATGGTCTACATTTCTCCTTTCTCTGTCCCTATCAGCATCCCAACCTCTTCCCTATCTCCATCCCTGCATCCCATCTTCCTCCCTATCTATGTGAGAGAAAGATGACTAAAGGATGAAGTAAATTTTGACATTCTCAAGATAAAGGGTTAGCTAAGGACTACTGCCGTCCCCCGAACACAGTGCACCCTGTGATGAAACAACGCTTTACAAGCCATTTTCCAACCCTTATAGTCATGACGAGGATCTGCTTTGTTTGGGGGGAGAAGGTAGTTAACTCTGAAGACAGGCCAAGGAGTGACATTATGCCAAGTATTTGATTCGATAATTATTCTTTCTGAATGATTGTCATCATGCCAAAAGGAAATGACGTTCCACACACAGGCCTGATTATGAGAAGGACTTGCTTACCGACCTTTCCTGAAATGCACAATCTCTCTTTCAGAATCTGATTCTGTTGTAGGGTTAGTTGCCTCTCCCATGAAAGAACTGCCATCGTCGTCCCCTGAATAGAACATACATCCGTTATAGCTGTATTTGGCGCAAATGTCAGATGAGATGCAGCAATACGGACTGTGCGTTCTATTCGGGGAAGGACGGCAATGGGTGTCTTTGCTTAAAACTTGGTGCCTGTTGCCTTTAGCCAATAGGTGTTGCGACAACCTCTTTTTGGTAATCATTGGATCACTGATAACAATGGGTGTATCCTTGACCCGCCATGGTCCCTATGGGGGGTGTTGAGGGTTAAGGACCTGTGGGATTCAGCAAAAAACTGACCAAATGAAAGGTACTTTACTTTATGCCCATCAGCTTTCAGATTGTCTCGATCAAGTTGTTTTTTCTATCCCTCTGCCGTGGGTAAGAACATTAAGGAAAGGCATAATCTTCAGAGAAGCAGACTGGGTAGTGGGCTTTCTGCCCAACGAGTACAACCTGGTAGATCAGATAGTTCACCTACTCCCTGATGGAGCCTTGGTCAGCATGTCCATGATGAAGATGGACCACATTGTTTTTCCCTCCCCAAAGGATAGAGTGGATTTTCTCCCTTTTGAGAAGATGTATAGGATACGGACCTTGTGCCTCTCTTCAATCCACGGGTGGAGGGCTTTGACTTACCAATCCCGGAGCTCGCACTAGACCGGCAGAGTGGATCTGGCAGTCCAGCAGGAAAGGAAATCCAAGAATGCTGCGATCCTTGTCGGTCAAGGCAGCATACCACCGTCTGATTCGACCAAAAGTGGGATTGAAGCGGTATTGCAGGATTGTTGGGCAAGGCAGCTTAATATAGACATCAATTTGATTAGACATGTGACGAAGCAGAGGCAGAGCAGCGATCCTGGGAGAGAGAGGGAGAGTGAGAGCACACACACACGCTCACTCAACTCGACGCAGACTCGACACAACTCGACGGACGCAGACACAAAGTGGCAAAAATCGCAAAGTCGCAGTCTTGAATTCCCAAACACAATGTCGAAGGCTGAAAACTTTGTGCCCGTACTGGGCTTGAGTCTGTACATAAGCACCGGACTCAAGTACGGTCCTGAGGGCGAAAGTGAAAATGCCTCAGGGCCAGAACTGAAAATCAAAAGTCCGAGAGTGGGCGCCAGAATGTCGGATGGCGCCAAGTGTCCGAAATCCGAAAGTCCCAAAAGAAGGAATTTGAAAACGGGCGCCAGAATGGAGATGGCGCCAACTGTCTGAAAACAAAGGAGCAAAAACGAAGTAAAATAAAACAAGAAAATTCAAAATTGTAAAAACAAAAAAAAGGATAAATACAGCCAGAGGCCTCCGTCGGCTCTCGCAAGAGTCGAGGCTCTTGGGATAAGGTAAGGTATTGTTTTAGACATGTTCTGAACAATGTTGTAGTTCGCCCGAAAGTGCAAACACTGGGGGCGACAGAGGGACCATAGTAGTGATTGATGCCAGACATCACAAAGGGTCCTATGGAGAACACAGATTTGATTGATCATTCACACGGCGTCCATCCAGGTCGCAGTTGCCAAGCCTAAAATTTATCAACATTTGTATGATTCATGGGAAAAAAACAAAATCTCGTGCTACGAGGACGTAGCATGTACAATTTTTTGGAAAAACTTGTCACAGTCACAGTGATCTCTTTTCATAACTACCCTGTCAAAACACAAAAAACTTCTATTCATTTAACCATTAAAATGAATTTGTTACGCTTATTCCCAGAAATACAAAATCATGTCGAAATTTTTGAACACCTTCGTGGGTTTCATGTGACTCTTATCACTTCAGCTAAAACCCAAAATGAAACTTCCATTTTGTGGAGCGCCATCGTATTGTTTCAACAAATTGGAATTTAGCTGTAGAATTCTCAAATTGTATCCAAAACAACAGAGAGTATAAAAAAGTGATCAAAGAGGTGCAAAAGGCAATACTTCGTATCCACTGTATTTTCGAGTTAGGAATAAGTAAAACGGTGAGGGCCCCTAAAAGAGGCCACTTGATAAGACCACTCAGATTGCCAAATAATGGAGCACAAATTTGTAACATATGTGTTTGCTTTTTTTGGGTGAAAACATGCACAGACCCAGAGTTGTCGTTTATCGTTATGTATCTTATCATACTTGCAAAGTCAAATAACATCAAAAACGCCATGCAAACAAAACACGGTATTGGTTGTATTCAATCAACTTTAAGTAACACTATAATTACCATAACAGATTCTTTTGGAGATACCAAGTCTTGGTCCTCTTCTGGTTCAGTGGGATTTAAAGGATCTCGTCGTTCAACCAATTATGCTGCTCAAGCTACTGCTGAGAATGTAGCGCGTGCTGCTATTCCATTTTAGGAATTAAGTCAGTTGAAGTGAGAATCAAAGGTTTAGGTTATGTTATGGAATGCCTTCGGCCTTACGTGGTTTACAATTAGGTGGTCTTATTATAACCAAGACTAGCGATGTAACTCCAACGCCACATAACGGATGTCGTCCTCCTAAGAAACGCCGCGTATAATATCATATCATCGCTTCTGAGGATTGGCAGAGGCACAAACGAAGGAAGTGCTGGCGAGCCTCTGCTGCATTGATTTTGACAAAATCGACGATTTGGGTAATCAACGATAAATGGTCTTTGTTTTGATACAAACAAAAAGAAGATGGCTATGTTAGAGGGTGCAAAATTATGTGGAGCGTAGCTACCCGGCAATGCCATTGGCATGACAACCGGTCCACCATAGGTTGACCCATCCCAGTCCTCTCGTACTAGGGATGGCTTCTCTCAGTTCTCTTCAAATCACCAACGGTAGATAGGAACCGGACTGTCTCACGACGTTCTAATTGTTATGTTGGCCACTATGGCGCCAACTGTCTGAAAATAAAGGAGAAAAAACAAAGTAAAATAAAACAAGAAAATTGTAAAAAGTACTAAAAACAAAACAAAAAAAGGATAAATACAGCAAGCTGGCGGATGGTGACCCGCAGACCAGGGATCGAGCACTGGTGGAGTCCGTAACAAGACATGTAAAATTTTTCAAAATCCTTGAGCAAAGACCGGTCAACTTTGCCTCCCTCCAATGGCGGATAGTCCACCCCGTTGTTTGCCCACAAACTATTGGTTGATTTATAGGTCTATGCTAGAACAACTAGGATTAGCGCTGCCTAGGTGCGAATCATGTTTTTCCACCTTTCCTAGCCGCAAGTTTAGAGAAACCATCGAGCATATTTTCTTACAATGTGCAGGCTCGGTGTTGGTATGGCGAAGATGGGACTGTGTATGGAGGTCAGTGACAAGCTGAGACTGGCCATGGGATTGGAGGGCTATCCTGCTGGGGCATTGGGAATCCTCTGATATACAATTATCTACTTTCCAACATAACTTTTTTGTGTTAGGACATAAGGCGGTTCTATGGACATTGTGGTATAAAAGATGTGTTGGAGAAAGAGGAGTAGTGAGTCTGGAAGATGAGGAAATAGCAGACCAGATTGTCAGTTTTGTGCATACAGATATCCGCTCACAGCGGACGGGTCTCTCAAATAAACTATTTCAATATCGGCAAAAAAGGATATAAAACAGTCAATTAAACAATTTGTTCAAGATTGGCTGGGGGGTTCTGCAGAGGGGGGCCTGTGTGGTCGTGGTCTTGGCCAGGGGAGGACGGGTCTGACGAGTACTTCAAAAGAGACTTTCAGCTCGTCTTCCGGGACTGGTTCACGCTTCAACTGGGAGCATCACTCAGATCTCCAGATTGTTTCTCTTACCCTTTCCCCCCTTCTGAGCTATAGCTCTGGTGGAGTGGTTTGGCTTGGGGGAAGAATAACTGAGGTCTGTCTTGCAGTGAATGGTCCTTGTCAGGGGTGGGGGTAGCTTGTTTTGCATGACATATCTGGCGGTTCCTGGGAACTGAAGAGGCACCCCAACCCTTATGCATTGTACCCGTTACATCACTCATGATTTGAACTAATCTGTATCTCATGGGACACTGTGCAGTTAACCCCCCAGTACACTGGGGCAGCGGTCAAGGATCACACCTCTCTTCACGACTTCCAATTTTTTCAAATGTATTCAATTGGGATGCTGGACCTGTCTTCCAGCAGGTGCGGCTCCCCACCAATAGATTGGAGTAACCAGAATGCGTATTAGGGAAGTAACCAGAACCCGTATTAAAAAAAAAAGAAAAAGAAGAAAGATCCTGGTTCCTGGTATTGTGTCCAAGGTCATGGTTGTTGGGGGCTGACGCTTGAAGTGAGGCTTGCACGGGGCTTTGCATGTCATTAAACAACTGAGATGCATGACATAATGTTATGGACTTGCGACTGCTGATGAATGAATTGACAGTTTTCTCGTTGTTGCGTTTGCCCTTGCGTGTGCTGTTCTTTTTTCTTTTTTCGTTTTTTTTGGTTGATGATGCAGTGCATCAGCAGTGTGACAGAACCTGTTGTAAGTTTTGCTGCTGCAAGGGCTGTCAAGGCCGCCGTGCAATTCAATCCTCAAGAGGGTGCACTGAAAGACTACGCCATTTATCAAAGAGTGAGTGTGAGCTTTCTAACTGAAAGGATATGGATGATTCTAACCCCTACCTTCTTCCCCTGAATACAACGTACGGTCATTATAGCTGTATTTAAACTGAAACATAGCCCAAATACGGCTATAATGACCGTGCGTTGTATTCGGGGGAAGAAGGTAGGCCTAAATCCAACAGCGTCAGACCATGCTGTGGTAGACTTGGCCTGGTCAGTCATGATGTCATCGCTATTTTGTGGAACCAGTGGTTGGGTGGCTGGAAGTAACATGTGAAGAACTACTGACGGCCATGTCATTTGTCACCAGAGCTCGACAAATGGTGAGGGCCGAACTGATGGAGATAATGGGGTGAGAAAAGAGAGCCTGGGACAGAGAAATAGAAGAAATGAGGATTCGGGGAACAGATTATATCGACAGGAAAGGAGGAGGAAGGGATGCACAAGCTCCTTACTGCCTGAAGCACCCTATGAGCAGGCTGCAAAACAATATGTGTCTCTTGCTATGCTTACTCTCTCCCAAGAGCTGAAGTCACCTCTTTCATAACTTGTGCCACATTTGTCATAGCTTCAGCACCACTATTAGGCCTTTTCTACAACCCCTTAGGTCAGCGCCAGTGATGGTGGCTTTCCACCATAGCCGAACAAGAAGAACACCTCAAGAAGACATACTGCTTCTTTGTGTAGGCGTTTGCTGCATGAATGACTGTGGAATCACATAAGCAGCCAGGTGACCTGGAACCCCAGATGATGGAATGAGGATGGCAGATGGGTATAAGTGAGTTGGTAACTGGCACGCTGACTCTAGACCTGGCAGGTAACCTGTCAGGCCTTTCTGTGAAAACGGAAACTTCACAATGTGTGATTCTTGTGTTTCCTTTTCGGGAAAGTCCTGGCACCACAACAAAGTCCATTGCAGTGAGTCGAAACTCAGTTGAGCCATCTAATCGATCAACACTTTGAACCTCCAGGCAATCTCAGTCGTCAGGCGGCAACCTGAGTTCTGAATGAGGTTGAAACTCAGGTTGCACTTCATCACTAGAGCTGCGAGTAGGTACGTCATTCAATAGACAAGACATGGATTTCTATTTACAAGCAGGATGACATTAACACAATTGGCTAAAGAGTAATACGGGCGTGCAAAGGTAGGCTCTAGCTAGAGCAAAGCCCAGCTGTAGATGCTTGCTTGTATGGTGTAGATTTGCAATAGAGTGTACAGATCTAGTGGAGAAAAGGGACGGAGTAGGACAACCTCGGACAAGAACACAGACATAGATCATCTCACGATCAATTTCTGTATAGATAGAGCCTTCGCTACAGGGAACCACTTAAGGAGGGAGCTCTTATCACCTCCTTAAGTGGAGGTGGAAAGCCCCTGGCACGAAGTCTTCGAAAAAAAGGGGGAAAAAGAAACGAGGCTAAAGGGATGTTAGTGATTGTCTGAGAAGAGTCGTTGGTAGAGATATTTTGTGTCCCGGCATGGCTGGTTCCGCCACCAGTCTGTCGATGGAGGGGTCTTTGCGCAGCAAGCAATCAATTGCTTCCATTGTAAAGAGGACGAGCGGGGCTGCCAGGGGATCTCATTGACACACCGAACGAGTCATTCTATACATCAGGAGAGGAAGCCATCGAGCTGCACCGTCCATGAGCTTGGTTGTACAACACCCTCACCCGTCTTTGAAAGTGTGGCCCTACGCCCATCTGCTCGAATGCACTGCTTTTGAAAGGACCAGTTGACCTGGTCGTACGCCTTTTCAAAGTCAAAGAAAAGGATGGCTGCGTTTAATCTCTTGTCTGTAATGTAGCGTGAAGTCTCCGACAGGGTCATCACGTTGTCGAGAATGAATCTTCCGGGGATGAATCGGGTCTGATCAATGTGAAAGCAGCGGCTGGTAATCTTGCTTAGCCTGTTGGCCAGGAGCTTCACCAGGACCTTGTATACCACCAGCAGTAGCGTTATAGGTCTGTAGTTTCTGATGTCTGTGGGGTCACCCTTCTTGTCCAGCAGTGTCACTACGCCTGTGCTCAAGTATTTGCCAAAGTTCTCCTCTCGTTCTGGTGTAACAAGGAAGTGCTTCTATTCGTCTTGAAATATCGGCCAGCAGGTCTGCCAAAACCCCTTGGAGAGCCCGTCCCTCCCTGGTGTTTTGTTTGGTTGTAATGTTTGGAGCGCTTCTCTCACTTCTTCCTGTGACAGTGGCTTGTCTAGTTCTTCACTTTGTTCTTGGGAGAGAGTTCTGCCAAGGTGAGCAAGGAATTTTTGACTTGCTTCAGCTACCGAGGCCTGTGGCATGTGATTCTCGGTCGTTGTGTACAGGTTCCTGTAGAAGTCAGCCGCCTCTGATAGCATCTGGCCGGGGTCTGATGTAACTCTATCCCGTGAACGCAGCTGGTCTATCAGCTTGTTCCATGCGTTAGTCCTGATCTTCTGGAAGAAGTATTTGGTCATTTTTTGCCTTCCTCCAGTTCCTTGACTCTCGCCCTCAGCCGCATGCCATCCTCCTTCCATTGTTTCCACTCCGCTAATCTGCGTTTTGCTGCGTACAGTGGGTCCTCAAGGTGCTGTGTTCTTGGCTGGGCAATGAGGTTTTGCTCTGCCAGTTGCAGCACGGTTTCAAGCTCCTTTTCCTTGGCGGTGCGTCTCGCTGCCAAGATGCGGGATGCCTTTGCTATAGCGTTTTATAGGCCTCCAACCAGTTGAGGAAAGGTTGCAGTACGCGTTCCATTTTTTCTTGTTTTTTTCTTTTGTTCTTTTTTTTTACGAAGAAGGCTTTTTTGCTTAAAAGCTGGAAACTCGGTCCAGCATCCCTTACAATCATGATGCACTCCACACTTCCTCCCATTATGACTGGAGGATCCTGAGACGGGGCCATGAATCGCTTCCTTTTTGAGGGAGACTTGACCTCTGCTCGATCTTCGGACAAGTCGATAAGTTTGACATGTGTTTCGTGTCCCTCAGTCTGCAAGGTATGGGCGTACTTTGGGCCTCCAGTAATCACTGTGAAGGCGCCCGTGAACCCCGGGCAGTTGGCCCTTGTGTGTGAGCGGGATAAAGTAGCGGTGGTGAGCTGTGTGTTGTCCAAGCGGAGTGTGTGTGGATTGTTCGAGTCCGTGGTGTGGTGTGCGTGTGTGTGTGGTGTGAGTTCAAGGACGCTACAGCCCTGGAGGTGGGCTGCATATCAGGACCGGTATGGATGCAGTTTTATAACACCTCCAAGGGTTGTAGTGGTTACGATACTTCGCTTCTGTGCAGGAGGGTGCCGGTTCGAGGACGTCCGTGTACGGCGGGGCATGATGTCCCAAACACACGTCGCTCAGTAATCACTCCCCTGAATGGCAGAAAAAAAATTCCAAGAAACACGTGGATGATGAGAAGAGAAGGAAAAAACGATGGAAAAGAAAAGAAAAACAACATAAGAAAGAGAAGAAAGGACATTAGTTTTTTTTTTTTGTTGAGGTTCGGTTGTCTTTTTTTCAAAAAAGGCAGTAGCCACAGAACAGCACCCTAGGTTGAGTTCCATCTGGATTCGAACTCGAGATCTGTTTCTTAAAAATTACATGTTTGTACCATTCAGCCAGCAATCTGGGTAGGACATAAGATTAAAAAAAAAAAAAAAAAAACAATCAATGTGCAGAAAATAAATACATCATAACACCACACCATAGTTACAATCTGTACATCTGGATCGAGAAACGGCCACAACTGCCTGGCTTAGGATTTACCGTAGTAATTTAGTAAAGTCTTTTTTTTCCTGTTTTATTTCAAAAAAAGAGTGTCATGATTCATAAAGAGTGTCAATTTACCAAATTGGTCCCTCTTTTTTATTCGTAAAGGGGTGTAGCGCCTAACTCATGAGGTGTTTATTACTAACAGGCGCACATGTTTTTTTTTTCCCCATGAATCATACAAATGTTGATAAATTTGTGTATCAATTGTTGTACCTTGCAATTCTCTGAAATCAAAAGCTCGAAGAGCGAGACTTGTGAGATTTTTCACTTGGAGTCATCCATTCCATCCGGCATGGTTCTGTGTCTAGTAGTGCGCCATTCAGCCACGTCGGATGGGTGCATCAAAAATGATTCTGTTATTGTTCTGTCATCTCAAGTACAGATGATTGACTCAGCTAACACCTCATATTTTCGTTCTTTCGTTGATTGCAGGAAGTGGTAAATAAACATGTAGTTCTGGCACCGGAGAACATGCATCAGTTAGCAGCGGTCCTCCGACTGCATGCATCGACAGACCAAAATCCATTGCAGGTATTCTCTTTTTCCTCTCTTTTCCTTCCTCTTGTCAGTTTTTCCAACTTTTTGTGATTTTCCCTTTCAGAATGGGAGCTTCCTGCAATGTGCATACACCACCATTGTTGCATGCAAACCTCTGGCTAATCCTCATGGACTTGTATAAAAAAGATATTGGAAAAGCTCGAGTGATTCACTTTAGCGTTTTCTGGTTACGGTTTGCCGATGGACCCCTTAACTGCCTCATTGATTTTTTTGGTGGGTTAGAGCGACCACAGGGTCCTCATTTGAGTCCTTGGCCAGCAAGCAACTATGGCAAGAGCTGAGACACTTAAACTGCCACTATATTTCGCAACCGCTCTGGTACCAGAATGCACCCTTTTCTCCGTTGGTTTGATTAACACCTGAGGTGGTGCGGAAAAGCCTATGGGCCGCTTGGACTTTAAGAAGCTCTGCTCGCCTATTGGCGGATTAGACAGTGTCTCGATGGAGGAGGGCAGGGGGAGTGCGGCGTCGGTGTAACACACTCTCAGCAGCCCTTTTTTTTTTTTTTTGAAACCGAAAATCCTGCTAGGAGAGGTGATACGAGCATCCGCCCCTAGCAGGTTTCCTGGTTGCTCCAATCTATTGGTGGGGAGCCGCACCTGCTGGAAACCGGGTCCAGCTTAGATCCTGTTGCCCATCACCCATGGGATGTGGTGCTGAAAGCGCAGTGTTAGGAGGTGACTAAGCCAGGGTGTCTAGTGCCATCACCACATTGGTGGGAATTTGAGGGAGTTCAACTGTTCAGAAAGGAGTAGAAAAAAAAGCGTGGCAAAGGGACCAGGGGCGGAGAGCTTTAAACACCCTAGTTTTCGGCTGTTTGCTTCGGACATGTGGTACCAGTGGGAGACCTGCCCTTTTCCTCAGTTGCAAGCAGGTTCACGGAGAAAAACACCCCAGTTTGACTGTTTTTGTTTCAGATGTGTGGAAGACCAGCGCCTTGTCCCTTAGTTGCAAAGGGACCAGGGACACAGAGAGTTAAACACTCTACCGTCTTCATCCGAATAGAACGCCCAGTCATTATAGTTGTATCTGGCACAACTTTCTGTCACATGCAGCAATAATGACCGGGCGTTCTATTCAGGTGAAGACCGTAGTTCGACTGTTTGCTTCCGACGTGTGGGAGCTCAGCGCCTTGTCCCTCGGTTGCAAGCAGGTTCACAGAGCCGTTCAACTTGCATATACGATATCGACACACAAGCAAATGCCCTCAGGCGATGCACGTCCACTACGCCATGTAAAAACCTGCTGTATTTGTGCATCGTTATCCTCATGGGGATACCTTTCTGCACTCTGTATTCTTATACTTTCCTGACGTGACAAGGAAGTCTCTGCCATTTGGCAGGCAAAAGCGAGAGTTATAGGTCACAAAACTCATGGAGGCGGATGCGATTGACAACACCCCACTACTTTTCATAGAAGGGCTCTCTATCTCTGGGACGGTGGGCGCCCTTTTTCTTTCCCCATTGCTAGAATTTTGCTTTATTTAAATTTTAAACTACCACTATCTTTCCCAGGCAAAGCCGAGAATCGAAAACGTAACAATCCACATTCTCCGGATGAACAGTGCTACCGGACCAAAATGGCCAGCGTTACTGCATTATTTAAACTACCGCTATCTTTCCCAGGCAAAGCCGAGAATCGAAAAAGTAACAATCCACATTCTTCGGATGAACAGTGCTACCGGACCAAAATGGCTGGCGGCACCATCCAAAAGAAAAAGAAAAAGCCACCGTGGCCTTTCTGCAAATCTTGGCACGTAGGGGGAATCCTCCTCGGCAAAAAGCCGCTCGAATGGCTGGCGCTGCCAGCCAAAAGAAAAAGAAAACTCCACCGCGGCATTTCGGCAAAGCGTGGCACGTAGGGAGAATCCTCCTCGGCAAAAAGAGGCTCGAAGGTACTGGTGGCGCCCCCCCCCCCACCCCCACACCCCCACACCCAAATCAAACTTATGTTGTTTGTGGTGCAGCTGGTGGTCTTCTGTCTTTTGCAGCTTTTTGGTAGCCATTATGTGTTGATAACAGATGTGAATACAGTGCTCTATCTGTGGGGCTGTCCATGTGGTCCTCTGCCCCTTTTTTTATTTTTATTTTTTATTTTTTATTTTTTATTTTAAACACAGAACCTGACGGTTCTGGCTCCTGCCATTCTGGGGAGCAACAGTCCGGTTCCTATTCCCCCGGCAAGTCACACATGGTTACAAAAAGTACTCACACACGCTCCTCCCCATGATGGTCCTCTGCCCCTTTATTTTTTCCATTGCGTGAAAAAAGCCTTGAATTTTGCCCTTCTTCCAAAGCCCCTTGAGAGCTACATTGTTTGTCGTGCTGGCTATGCACTGACGGTTCTGGCTCCTGCCATTCTGGGGAGCAACAGTCCGGTTCCTATTCCCCCGGCAAGTCATACATGGTTACAAAAAGTACTCACACACGCTCCTCCCCATGATGGTCCTCTGCCCCTTTATTTTTTCCATTGCGTGAAAAAAGCCTTGAATTTTGCCCTTCTTCCAAAGCCCCTTGAGAGCTATATTGTTTGTCGTGCTGGCTATGCATGAGGTCATCTGCCTTTTTTTTTTTTTTTAAGGGTGACAGCCTTGATATATCATCATCAAACTGGCCGGCCGCAGGTAATTCAGAATTGTTGGATTTTCTCATCCAAGTCAAGTGGAGTTGTGCTTCCAGTGGAGTTCGAACTCGGGTCTGTATTTCAACAGTTTAGGGGTGTACCAACTGAGTTACGGCAGTTGGTTGGCACTCTGCCCTTGTTCTTTTCCATTGCTTGAAATTCTACCTTCTTTTTAAAGCCCTCTCATACCGATGTTGTTTGTGGTTCTTGATGCCGTTCTGTACTGTGCAGCTTTTAGGTGTTCTTGATGTGTTGATAACTGCTGTGAATAGCCCTGCTGTTGATACAGAACAAGACCGAGTTTGGCATAGGGTGAGTCTTGTGGCCAGTTGTGGTATCTTTTAATCACTATGTCACCTTTCTTTTTCCTGGCCTTTTCTAAGGGAGTAGTCCGTAACATTATTCATGATTATTGTATCCATCTAATTCCATTTGGGCTCGAACAAAGGATCTGTTTACTAGTAATTTTTAACAGTCAGATGGAGTGGGAAGCATCTCATTGTTGTTTTTTTAATTAAAAAATATCACCGTGCAACTGACTGGCCCCTCGTAATTCAAAAAAATCTTGGTTCATCTAGTTCCATCTGCATTCGAACTCAGGTCTGTGTTTCAACATTTTGAAGGTGCACCAACCGAGCTAGGCCAATCAGTACATGCCAATTGTTGTTAATCATGCATGACTGGCAATTCTTTTTTTTTTTTTTTTTTTTAATGCAGCATTATATTATAACAGATGAAAAGAGGCCGGGGACCTCGCAATTCTACCCGGAGTTATCCTGGCAGCGTCAGCCAGTTTCGCTTACGGTTCCAGCAGAACTGAGGGCCAATTGTTCATAAAACTTCCTCAATCTTTATCTCACACTCTGATCTTCAGTCTAGTCCTACTGTACTGTTTATTGTCCATCCTTCTGAACTACTGACTGGGAATTCTGTTGCATGTCTCATTGTTGTTTTTCTTTTAAAAATAAAAATAAAATACAGCTGTCTTCTCTCAAATCTTGTATCTAGCTCACGCTTAGCTACCCTGCCTGCCCTTGTCTAGAATTCCGACCACAAACCCTACCTTAATCTATCAACGGGAAGCAAGCTATTCCATTGGTCACGGGCTGAGTCTACCGCTAGGCTCTAGGGCTAGGGTCTAAGCCTCTAAGGCCACCTTAAATGCACCAACCACTGGCAACCAGAGGTCCAGAGCTGAGCTATCCTGCGGTTATGGGTCTGCATCTACCTATCTCTGCTCAGTGCGGGGAGCAATGCCCAAGCTCCTAACACCTGGCGTGGGCTGGAAAGAACCTCGTCCACAACCAGCCAGGAGGCCCAAGCCTCATTGTTGTTAATCAATGCATGATGGCAATTCTGTTGCATGTGTATCTGCAAGGGCATATTCAGAGTAGGATTTTCCTGCATGTATCTGGATACCCAGCTTTTCACACCCAAGTTTCGATCACAATGTTATAATTTTTATTCTCCCTAGTAATTTTGAATTCAGGAACCATCACTCTCATGCCTTCTGATGTCTCCTTGTTTGCCGTCATATTTGCTCCGCCGTCCTCTGTCAGAATGAACCTGGACGTCCAGTTGAGGACAACTCACCTGGCCCTGCACGTACAGTTACACTCTCAGAGATTCATCGGAGCAACAAAGGCAGAGTGTGGAGGCACATCCCTTTTTGAATTTTTCAGGAGTCTCAGTTAGAAAGCACTCAAGCTTTGCCTTTTTTTGAAGCAGATCTTTTCCTCCTTAGAACCTGCCCCCTAAACATGGTCTCTCTAGCATAATCAATGATGTGTGGTAGTGGTGGTTCGCTCTACCATATACAGCAGGGAGAAGTTTTTTTCAGACTGTGTCACTGATGTATTCCTATGACTTGCTTTTTATTCTCAGAGAAGAAATCGGACTGATGGTACGCAGAATAGAACGGAGGCAGGCAGGGCCATAGGCATGGTAACCCCGGACCCGGACACCGGACACTTCCAGACTGTCTTCCAGACCAGTGTCTGGACCGGTCCGGACTGTCTGGTGATCCGGACATCACCGGACACCGGACAGTCCGGACCGGTCCCCAGGGTGCAAAAATGTCCGGACCTAAAAAAAAAAAAAAA